CTTCGATCGAATACGGATTCGCTTGATGCGTATCCTTTCAGTCAAGAGATTGAAACACTTTTTGGTTCGAAGCCCCAACCTACTCATCATTCACATGTTGAGGATGCTGCACTTTGGGCTCCTCGTAACACTGTCAATCTGGATGACATTCCCATGGACGTGGTTACTTCTGAAGACGAGGGGAAGAATGAAGAACCTGAAGTACCTATCTCTGCCATGAATTATAACATTTTATCCCCCGATGCACTCAGTAAGCCGCGAGCCACCTATGTAAGTTCTCATCTCTCTATGATTCTCTCTGTTCAGCCCCTGCAACATACTGAAATGGACGAAATTGAACTCCGGAGCCGTGCGCTGCGGAGCTTATTGCTGAAGAGACAAACGAACGAAATTTCATTGGATTCTAAGCTACCGGGATATGATCACCCCTTTGAAGCTCATGCAACCAAGAGACTATGTATTGGTTCAGGAAAGCAGCGTTCATTTCAAGGCAACCAGCAAAAGTTTGTAATAACAGTGGGCGATTCTTCGGAAACGGACGAACCCTCTTCCGCCTTAATACAGCGTGGTACTCCAACCACTTATATAACTAGACAGAAGCCCTGCATGGAATTATCTGAGTTAGGCAAAGTAGCAACCAGATCGTCGGTAGCTCAATCGAAAGCAGAGGCCGCTAAAAGCAAGTCTGCATCCATGGACGTTAATTTGATGGATTTGAAAATGCGCTTGTTGCGTCTTAAGTTGACGTTGAAACGCCAAGAACGCATAGTGGAAGAGCGGCGCAAAGTCGCTCAAAGGTTGGCTTCTACCTCCAAAGATCTTCAAAATCGGCTGAAACGAACAGAACGTCTTATGAAGGATGCCGATGAATCTGTCTCGAAGGCAGAACGTATCAGAGACTCAATTGAAAGGAGGACTCAGGCTATTCAGGAAACCTACAATCGGCTAACCGAAATAACCGACAGAGAACCATGGTCGACAAGCACAACAGTTCAGGATAAAGACATGAAGCCTGTCTCATCCTGCATCATGCCAGCGCCGAACGACTCTCTAAGGAAGGAAATCACATCAGACTCCTTGGCCATTTTGCTAGAGGCTCGTGTTTCCACTGCCTACTTTTCTTTTTATCGTTTTGAATTTCCCGTACCTTGTATAAGACCGAGCGAAACTGCGTCAAGCAATGCAGATTATGCTCAACCGAAACCTGAGCTTCCCGCTTCAACATGGAACCCCGACAGTTCTAGAATGCGCATCGATCCCATGGTACCGATGTGCCCGTATCTCCTGGATGGCGATTGCAAAGACAGTTCTTGTCCGTGGCAACATCCTACCAATTCCAGCACCAGTTGTCGTCCACAGCAGACCCCATGGTTTCCGGCTACATCGTCGAAGAAATCCGACACACATGTGTTAACCAAATCTAACGCAACTAATTTTTGCCCGGTGTGTAAGCAGCTATTTTCTACCGCCAGTTCTGATGCGACTCATTCGGACATTATTCGAAAGTGGCATACACACTATTTCGCCTGGAAACGTTCAAGTGTCAAGGAGTCTGCTGACAACTTTGCTAAATTTCGTCATATGAGTTGCACTTTGATCCATCAATACCCGACTGATTGGGACCTAGGCAAGCACCATTTGGCCACTGTTTGTGCCACCCATCATCCCAAGAGGATGAAGAATATTGTGGAGTATTTAAAATCGGCAAATTTTCCAATAGATGCATTGCGGTTGGTGTTTCGCCATCCATCTCTTAGCTGCGCTCAACGACAATCGATAGCCCAAGCTTGCCTTGATCATCTAGTTCCCCTCATACAACTTTCTCCCCATTTGACTGATATTTTGTCCTCTCCTTCCACTTCATTTGTCTACGTGGTCTACCATCTCGCAATATTACATTTGGAGTGTGAGTCGGATGAGAAGCAACTGAACGAATTGCTCAATAAATATCTCTCCACATTTCCCAAATCTCATCCGGTGCAGTCTGGCCTATGGTGGTTCAGATTGGCTTTAGCTGTGGATAAGCGTCTACCAAGTGAAGATGCGTTATTTTCTGTTGCCAATTTACCCGCTTCCAATCAAAGTAATCTTACGGCCAATCGGCGTCTGATTGAGGACGCCGCCGCGGAGCTTCGGATTCCCTATGGCTCTGTCACTTTGTTTGATTCCATTTCGGTTTGGAGTAAGGATTCCATTTTGCCTGTTTGTTACTTGTCTGTGGTCTTCTTCTATGTTCAACTCTTAATCATACGGCAACAGTATAAGGCTGTAGCCGATCTTTGTCTTCATTTAGCTACCACACCCGGATTAATTTCGACAGATGATCTCTTCTTTCCTACTGGCGTTTTTGCGATGTTCCGTCGCAAATCGTTTTTTGATTGGTCCACGTTTGTCTCCGAACTGATCGAGCCTTATCGAAGTCGATACGACACTTCTTTTCGCATTGAATTAGGCTTTCTGCTGGCTCATTTGGCCTGGCAAAAAAAGGCTCTGAAAGATTGCAAATCTGCCATTATGGAGTCTTTGGCTAACTTGATCCTATTGCCATCAGATGCGGACATCGATATCATCAAAGCATTTGAAGAGCTCCTTGGTGTACATCGCACAGAAGCACAAGTTGACTCACCTCTAGAGCTCCTTTGTGTTCGTGGCCGCACTTACCTGTTATTGACCTATGGATTGTTTAGTCTCCTATATTCCAATACTAATTGGATGACCACTTTGAATTATCTTGTATTGTGCTACCGCAAACATCTCGATTCGATGAGTGGTGGCGAGCACACATTATTCGATAAGCTTTTGTTGCATATGATTGTAACATTTTTGAATCGCACATACGATCCCACTAACGATGTCGCTTACATGGAGAAACTGTCCAGCGTCATGTTTGTTCGGCCGTTGTTGCTACAACAGTGTCTCACGCCCTCTTGGTTCATTGAACTGGTACAACGCATCAATTTCGCTTCTTTGCCGTCTCCTGGCCTACGACACGACGTTTGCGTTCGTCTGGTCGAGGTACACGGTACGCGTCTGATTCCACCACTTTGTCGTAGACTTTTTGTTTTAAATGATCGGTTTTTGGCGCAAAGTCTGTGTGCTATTGGTCGTTTGGATAAACCAGATCAAGCGGACTTCTGGTTGTTGTATGCAGCGCTCACAATTATTTCATCCGCCGGTGCCGCAAATACAGAACGGGCGGTCAGCTCACTGCTTCAGAATACCGAGCTCACGGAGTTATTCGCTGAGGCAGTCAGTGCTGTGCCATCTAGCCGTAAGTTGTGGAAACAGTATGCGTGGGCTGTGCAATCTGCCGGTGTCGGTATAGAAGAACTGGTGCGACGTGCCCGGCAATTCCAGATGCTTCATGCTGTCTCAGGCATTTCTCCACCCGTGGATACCAAACTGCTTGCATCAGCAGCCTCTAAAGCCCAAGCGACAGATATAATTCCCTCTGGGACCACGCCAATCAGTCGTCCGCTGTCATCACTCGGTCCCGCTGTCATTTCTCCTAAGCCTACTTTTTCTGCACTCGGCGTCATATCCCAGCCACTTACCTCTACTTGCGTGGCACTCGTACCCTCATCGTCTCCTTACAAATCAGCCTTGACACCAGTCAGTCGTCCGATGCCACCCGCTGTCATCACTCCTAAGCCTCGTTTCTCTGCACTCGGCGTCACATCCCAGCCCAGTACCTCTACTTGGATAGCGCCTGCACCCTCCTCATCTCCCTACAAATCAGTCTTTATGCCCCAGAACCATGGTGTGAATCACAACCCCCCTCCTCCAAGACAGGCTGCTACTTCCGCTCTAGTTGTTTCCGCGTCAACCCAAAAGCCCATTCCCTTAATGAGTTTGCCACTACCAGTACCACGTTTCGTCACATCGTGGGGCAACTGGCCGACATCAGCTGTCTTGAGAGCACCTTCTCCGGTGGTGGCGGTTACTCCAACACCTGGAAATCCACCGCAAAGAGTCTCCAGGTTTACGCCACTAAATGGGATGCCCCCCCAACGCGGTGTCGGTACGGTTCCACGGGGCATCGGAGCAGCTCCTCTTCTCGGTAACATGTCCCAATTCCCTACTCCCACTGCACCTTCGCCCTCTGTGATTCGTCCGCCTTTCCGGCCGAGTGCACCGTGGAGGAGGAAGAAGAAGAAACGGAAACAGAAGTTAGCTGCTGCGAACGCAATGGTCTCGGCGAGCTCCAAGTAACGGTAAGCTTTCTGCATCATATTGCTTTTGGTCGTACATGATACCGCTTTTTGTACCAAATAATTTCGGTGCTGCTCTCTTCCAGCTGCACACCACGGTTTGTTTTGTCCTGAGTTGGACTCTTCAGGTAGACATAGACGCTTAGTGCTTTACGACTTATGGCCTGATTAGTGCTTTATGTATTGTCCTATCTCAAAAATAATGTAACGCTACGGGTTACCAACGGTTTTCTCCTGTATCCCTCAATCACGACTGGTTACTGTGTGCAACGGCTTACGGGAAACTGCCCCCTGTGTTCGCCACGACATAGCACATTTACGATGGATATGAGAAAGAGTGATTCTCATTGGCCTACTTCCACTTATCTAGTTGATGTCTCTCGGAACACCGGATCCCCTGATCTATAGCATTTCCCGCAAAGTTGCATAAAAGGTCCAAAATGTTGCAAAGAAGGTGCAAAATTTTGCAAAGAAAGTCCAAAACTTTGCAAAGAAAGTCCAAAATTTTGCAAAACCCTGTGCGATTCCCCAGCCGCTCAGAGCCAAACCTCTGACCTTAAGTGTGTTCTCATTGGCCGAATGCCAAGGTTCGGTGCGTTAGTCTGGGGAAGTGAGCGCGCTGCCCGTTGACTGGGTGAGACTTGTGAATGAATCTTAGAGGAATGCACTTCGACGGTGCAACGGGCTTGCATGCGCCCCCCTCACGTCCGAAACGATGGATCACAATTGGTCTGAGAGCAATGAACAGCTGGAACATAAGCGCACGACCGAAACCATGTCTATGATTCTAACGTCGTCGGCATACCTTCTCGCGTTCGACAGAGTATCTCATCAGACATTCGTGACCGAGTTTTGGGCGCTTTCGTCAACGGTGATGACTGACAGCTTGTGGCAACTGTGAACAACGTCAAATATCAGACAGCCTACTCCTGGATTCGTCGTTCTCCTGATCAGGAGCCGAGTACTACGCAGGCGCACGGTCGTAAGCGGATTTGGTCGGAGGAAGACGTAGATGACATCCTGGATTGGATAGCAAGGAAATCAACTCTTACGCTACGGGAAATGCGAGTACGAGTACGAGCAGAAGTGGACAAGGACATTTCGAAGTCAACAATCGCACGGCACCTAGATGGTCGATTGATAACTATGAAGAACATGTATCAGGTTCCCAAGGGAATGAACAATGAGCGAAACAAAGGGATACGTAGGGAATTCGTTCAGCAGTTTGTCCAACTTGAGAGCGATGGCAAGTTCTTCATTTGGATTGACGAAGCGAACTTCAACGTTTACTGTAAACGTACTCGTGGTCGGGCGCCCAGAGGTGTGAGGGCCTGTTGCAAAGTTGCCAACAGCAGAGGCCACAATTTGCATTTAATCGGTGCACTCACGATGGAAGGGAAAGTGTCAATGACCACCCGGAGAGGCTCATTCACAGGTCCCCTATCTCTCGAATGGCTGCGAAGCTAATTAGACAACCTGAAACGGGAGATGGAGCTCTGGCAGGTTGTCGTGGTATGTGATAATGCACCATGTCACACAGGACTGGAAGAACTGTCGTCAGTAGATGGATACGATGAGTAACCATACTGAGATTGAGCCCATACTCTCCGTTCGTCAATCCGATGGAGAATGTTTGGCAGGTGGTGAAGGCCAGAGTGAAGAATGAGATGAGAGTGCACTACGAGGAACTTCTGGCCGGGGATCCCCAGAAACTCATGACGCAGATGGAATGGAGGCTGCAGTTCCTTGAACGAATTGCCAAAGCAGCCACCAAGGATATCAGCGTTGTGGGATGTCGTAATGCTATTCGACATATGCGTGTACATTTTACTAATTGTCTAGAAAAATGACATGTTTTGATCACGTTGCTGGCCTATTTTTTACGTATCTGGTTGTATAGCACGTCACTGGCAGCGCGTAGGAACGTGTGAGTATTCACAATGTTTTCAAACTATGTATGCACATACGTAAGTTTGTGGGTTCGTACGGGGTTGAAGCGATATCTGATGTCTACCGCAAGGGAGTGACAAGGGACCGGCTTCCAGTGAGTCATGCCCGAGCGATGTATTCAACTTATGGTGCTTTTCGTGCCGGTATTCGCTGCGTCGTACGCTTTCATAGCCTGAGATAATGTAGATACAGTTTGTTTGTTCGGAAAACTAGGATGTTTGGGAAGCGCTTTGTAGGACCAAGTGAGCTTGCAGGGTGAAGCAACCGTCAGATATATCACAGTATGGGATATCAGCGTGGATAGTTGAATTGCAGTGAATAAGAAATTACTGAGCACGTCATGTCAGGTCTTTCCAAGAGTGAGAGGAACTGATAGATGCGAGTTCGCAAACACGTCCATTGCCAGACAAGATGTCGTCATTGAAGTTGAATGAATGAATCGCGTGTTTAATGGAAACCGTCTCTGTGCGATGTTTGTCCGCCGTATTTCAGTGCACTGCCGCGTTAATTCGTTACCCGATTGGGAGTTGGTCTGTCAAGTTCGGAATCCACATCAGCCGGTTCGGAACCTGTACTTTAGATTTAAAAGCAACCATTCCTACAGCAAGCCCAATTTAATTTACGTGCCAGAAAGGCCCGAATAGCTGTCCAGTACGACTTGGATACTGCCTTGATTGTTCGGATGATCCCTCGTTCGACCCAATAACGTGCGTAAACAAATGGGGATGTAGTTGGAGTGGATACAGTGGCGTAGCGACTACTTTTGCTATCCGTGGCGGACGTACAATTGCTGCCGCTCTCGTAGTTGTAAAGCCTGCAATTGAAATTGTCATTCAATATTTCGTTTCACATAACAACAATCACAGATTTAATTTTAGAGTGCTGTCTTGAATGCAGCTATTTGAATTGTTAAAATACTCGTGTTCAAAATGTACAGGCACACTTTTCGTGCACTACTTGAAGACGCTGGCATCTGAGCTGAGTAGGCGCTCATCGAACGCAATTGAACATCAATGGTCGAAAATCCGGCAGACTTTGTTAGCAGCGGGTGTCTTAATGTGACAAATCAAATCGCCAACCTGGACATTGGGTCCCTACGCAGTCTAAGGAACTTATAGATGCTGGCCAACGTGTTCCGGCTGATATCGAACACAAGGAGACTCGCAAAGATTTCAGGGCGAAACGGCTTGCTGATCTGAAAAAAGACCGGGAAGCCTGGTGGCCGAGTGGTCTGCACACCTGGCTTGCAATCATAAGGCCACCGGTTCGAATCTATTTTCCTGGCCTGCTTTGTCATCCTGGATGTCTTCTCAGTGCTCACCCAGTGTCTGAAATCCTCGTCCGTCGAAAAAGATGACCATCCCATTGACTAAGTGTTACACTGAGCCGAACAACCTCCTCGTGGTGTCAGCTGGGTGGTTCGGGTTTAACCCGTTCCAGCAAATAGTTCGGCGGCAGTGTTCCAGGACGTGGTGGGTTTCGCCTGTCTGCTTAACAACGCTGTGACGTGGCGGTCGTGACTCGCCACAAAATAAAGTCACTGCTCCGTGGATATCCAGATAATTCTATCCAACCGACGGACACCAATCTCCTACTCGCATATTGATGACGATATCAAACATTGAAGATTGGAGCAGCACAACTACAAGCACAAAATACACAGCTGCGTACACATACACACACAATGACACGCATACATCCCCCGTACACAAACACAAACTGCTATGGCAAACATCGGATTTTTGCACATTCTTGATCATGCATCGTTATGTCAAAATGATCATGCCTGTATAGACGTGCCTCACCTTGTTGAGAATAAAAGATTTATTTATTTATACCATGGACAGGATGATCAAGTGTCACGATAACTGGTCATCGCTTGAATCCTGGTGCCATTTGTCACAAATGTCATTGCCTGTCGTGCAAGTGCCAGCTGTGGACAAGTTGACTGAGTGTTACTCCTGACTGGCTCAACGTGGGTTACTTTAACTACAATACTGCAACCTGGAACGTTCATTCGATCAACATCATTATTGCGGTGGCCACCTTTAAACTCAGCTTAGCCCGGCCAGTCACCGCTCACATATGGTTGGCCTCTAGGACATTCCGGTTTTTAATTTGTGGCACCTATGTGCGACGCCCATGTATGTCCCTCCACCCCGTCCGTTGACAAATGCATTCATGGGAATCACGAGGACTAAGGCTGGTTAGAAAAATTTTCAAGGGAAGGTTAGACTAGGTAAATGAAATGGGGTTGAAACTACGCAGTGTATTGGAGCCCGACACGAAGTAATGTGAACGAGGTTGAGCCAGTCCAGAGTAACACTCAGTCAACTTGTCCACAGCTGTCCGGGCTAAACTACGGCCAAATGTTGCAACTGAAATAATGACAAAACCGCACACGTCGCTAATGGAGACACTGTGTCCTGTGTGCAGTGTAGACAATTGTTGGTACTCGTGTAAATGCAACAACCTATTCACAGTGAACACAAGGATCAAGGGTGCAAGCTAGGGAATACACCACATAGTGAATGTGAATGACAGTAGTAGTATTTACGTATCCTTGTGCGTCGAAGATATCTTCCGAGTGGGTAGTTTATAGCGTTCTGATGTCCGCATGGCTGCTGTCTGAAAACCCTAATCGTGAGAAATTTGCTGTTTCACAAGCTACATTTCCTGAACTGAGATAGATGGTAGTAATGACTTTAAAATTTCATTTGCCTGTATCTGATATTCTGTCAGTACCACGTTCAACAACGTAGCATCATTTCGATAAGCGGTATAGAAGTTGAAGTAACGGATTCTTGCGCACCCAAGTCCTGTTGAGAGATATATGTGCCGTATATAATTCGGCTGCTTGGCATTATTTCGCACTTGCACGACAGGCAATGACATTTGTGACAAATGGCACCAGGATTCAAGCGATGACCAGTTATCGTGACACTTGATCATCCTGTCCATGGTATAAATAAATAAATCTTTTATTCTCAACAAGGTGAGGCACGTCTATACAGGCATGATCATTTTGACATAACGATGCATGATCAAGAATG